TTGGGGACCGGCAGCTCGATAAGGAAGTGCACAGATAGGATGCAAACCCCTACTTTGGTTGTGCACGTTGGGCCTGCTCACTCTGCACCGGGGCTGGTCTTCTCCTGCAGAGCAGCCAGCACACGCGGGGGGTGCAGGGGACACCTCAGGTTTTGCTGTGGGAGCAGAGGTTCGAGGTGTAGCCCCCGGGCACGAATCCCTCCCGGCTGGACACGCCCACCCAGCATCTCCACGTCCACACGGGGGGTTGTGCAGCACACGCAGCCCTTCCACGCACACACACACACACACACACACACACGCCTCGGAGCTGCTCCCCGAGGCCTGGGAGAAGACGTGTGGGCCCAAAAACCAGGCTGCCTTTCTTCTCCTCTTGCTTCAGCTGGCTCTTCAGGCCAGCGGGAGAAAGCCAGAGCCTCTCTCCTCCCACACCTCCAGCACCCACGCGTGGGACAGGCTCGCTGCACGCCCCGAGCTCTCGTGCAAACGCTAAAGAAGTTGCTTAGGAGGGTGAAATCTGAGGCCTGGGAGAAGACGTGTGGGCCCAAAAACCAGGCTGCCTTTCTTCTCCTCTTGCTTCAGCTGGCTCTTCAGGCCAGCGGGAGAAAGCCAGAGCCTCTCTCCTCCCACACCTCCAGCACCCACGCGTGGGACAGGCTCGCTGCACGCCCCGAGCTCTCGTGCAAACGCTAAAGAAGTTGCTTAGGAGGGTGAAATCTGAGCAAACGGGGCTCTGTCAGCCACCAAAAAGCCCAGGGTCTGGCCAGCTCAGGTCTCTCCCCGGCCTGGATTGAACCAAGGAAACCCCAGCGAGGTGCTGGCGGTGGCAGGATCAGGGAGTGGAGGGGAACTGGGGAAGGTGGGAGCCGCTCCCCCCTCCCCGCCCCGCTCTTTGCGCTCTGAGATGATAGAGCCCCGGCCTGGCTGCTCTGCGGGGAGACAGCGGGGACCTTTCATGCCTCTTTGAAGAGCCAAGATAGCGTCTGCCCCCCTTTACCCCCTTTCCCCCCCTCCCACCCCTTCACCTTGCCACTCATTTCTGCGGGCCTCCTTATTTATTTATTTCCGCGCCTGGCTTATTTTTTTCTTTCTGGCAAAAGGGCGGCTAACAAGTAGCTGGAAGCAGTGGCCAATATTTAACTAAGATGGCTGGCCATCAGGTCCCTTTTGTTTGCTTGCAAATTAATCATCCAGCGCGCAGTCGGCGCCAGGGTAGATTTATCACACACAGAAGGGGGAATGAGGCGGCCGAAGAGAGACAAAGACTGTTCGCACCTTCCCGCTTTTGATCTTAGATTAGTGCAGCCTCCCTTCATAATACGAGTCTCCAGGGGGCTTCGTCGGGGAGGTCACTCGGAACTGGCGGAAGTTTGCACGCCATTAGCCCAGACGCTGAAATTGGGGCTCATCAAACATTTGATTTCCCTCCGCCGGGCGCTGCGCGGGTGCGGGGGTGCAAGGTGCGGGGCGGGCGCGGAGCGCGGTAGCGACTCCGGGCTCTGCCGCGGCGCCGAGGGCGAGAACCGGCGGGGCGGGCGCGGGAGG